ATAACGTTTTCTCTATAGGAAGTAATCACGAAGGTTGATTGTGAACAATATTCGCTACCAGAGTGTTCCTTTTGTTTACTTCTGTCCTTTTGCCAAATATACCATGCCTGTTGCAGTTGCCAGATTATATATAGTTCCCAAACTGATCGCTACACAAAGCATTGATACACATATTCTTAATGATTAACTAACTCTGATGACGTCCATCTGCCCTGTTTGATTTCTAAACCCGACGGTATGACCCGAATGTATCTCACAGTGCCGTCAAAGTTTTGGTAATATGGTAATTGATTACTGAATACGGCAGGCAACTATGATATCAAGCTCGGGATAGTATAATCGACATTTAGTACGACGTGTTGGCTACATAATGGATGCGCGTAGCCTACAACAACGAGTGTGTAAAATGTGTCAGTATAAGTAGCATCCGTCACAAAGCGGTTGAGATTTAGGGAAGTGCTCTGTCATGAGAAAAAGCAATCCGCTAGATATACAAGGGACCATTACAGTATAATGGTAACTGACCACACGCCAATGTGATGTAATCTGAAGTTAATGTGTTAAGATTCATTCGGCTATACCAATACCCTGAATGGCTTGCTGGCAAATCTCGTTGAAATATTCGGTAGATAGTCACGCAGAAACTTCTAAAATCTCGTTGACCAACTGACTTCGCCACGCTGAGCGAATGATTAATTTGTATTGTGTAGAGCACTTTGATCAAAGGGATACGGTCCCAATAAGATTTTTCATCTTTAATGAAGCCGTCGACAATATTTGACAACTTATAACATGAAGTTGACAATAGTACACATAATTATTTCAACCGACGACAGTTAAAATAATAGATTTTATTCAGTAAAACCTTACACTGTGCAATCCAGCAGGTCAACCCCGCTATTACAGACGGTTGAGGAATGGCAATTCACTCCAAGGATTTACAAACACAACATAAGTGCTGTAAACTTCGCTTGCGTGTAGAGTGAATGATGAAATACACAGAGATTATTCACGGTACAAGGTTTGAAGAATGTGGACTGCTAAGCATATTTATTGACAACATTGCTTTCCATGCTGATAATGTTGGTGAAAAAATCAGTTGCATCTGCGTTGCAATATGTCAGGATATATCTCAAGTCTCCATTCTGCGTACTTTCAATGCAGTAAAATCACTTTCAGAATTTATGAATTGTCAATTTGTCCAAACATTGATCAAGACATCGAAATACTATACATTCGAATTAAGTAGGAGCGAATAGCTCTTCGCTTCCCGATGGTTCATCTTTGATATGACTATAAGGAATAGCGGATATATCGGTTCAGTCACAGAAATCAATTCAAATCGAGCCAAACGACCAGGTAGCAAGTGATACTATACCAGTTTTTACAGTATACCTAACACATATGTCGAAAAATGAAAAATGGGGACGAGCATCCAACATATAAGGAGACTGAGAACGAGTGCGCATAAACATAATTTGATTGACGACACATGATTGATTGGTGACATAGGTGAGGAGCCTCAAAATCCTAACAGAAAAAAAATGACCGGTGAAAGGATCGAACTTCCGGCCGTAAGGTTTGGAATCTTACGCTCTACCGCTGAGCTAACCAGCCATGTATGATCAGCGTGAGATTTACTTACAGATAAGTAAAAATAGAAAAGCATTGAAGTGTTTAAGTGATTTTACAGCTTGATTTATGGAAGTCATCAGAGTTAGCTCACTCCCGAGAGCTAATCAAGTTGCTTAAGATACTCCCAAGAGTTGAGTTATTACTTAACCGACTTCCAAGAGCAGATTAAGTTTCTCAACCGATTCCCAAGAGTGAATTAAGCCTGTCAACCGCAACATTCTGATAATAGCTGCGGTTCTATGTGAGTCACAACCTATGCGGAAAGGCATCATGTGATCAGCGTGAGATTTAGTTGCAGAGAAGTAGAAATAGAAAAGCATTGAAGTGTTAAAGTGTTCTGCATAAGGTTTCTCATACTGACCATATGAGTTTTTACCCTGGCCAGCCCAAGCGGCTGAACACTAGCACAAACATCTTAGGTATAAAACCAAAGGTGAGGTCAGAAATAAATACATACATTTGCACTTTATCTAAAGTCTACTACATTGCACTCTAACATCATTCTCATTAAAAAGTTGTTGTAACCCTTTTTGTAACTTAATGGACTTTCGTCCATATGAGTCTGATTGCATAAATGTCATTACTTGACACCAAGGACACCGGCGATCGACCGTCACATATCCCTCTGAGGATGGATTCAGATAAAGTACTCTCTTGAGGTTTCGGCATATTTTATTTAGTTAAAGGTGCACGCCATATATATGGTTGACAGTATGGCTCCTGGGTCTTTACGATTTATACACTCTTGTATTTCTGTCGACATTGGGAGAGGATCAACACAGAAGCTTTCGTTGTTGACCTTCTAGTTCTGACAACACTACATAGTTATAGTTGATACATGTAGGGTTTTCCGTGCAAGTACAGCACTAGATATCCAAGGGTTGTAAAAATCGCTTTCCCCAATAGTGCTATGCTTGAAGTCAAGTGTATATATTCCAGGTTCAAAGCGAATGATTTGTTAATTTCCTGTATATGTATGTTCTTGAGAAGCATCTCAGATTTTAAGCCGTGCACACAGTTGTGGGTATCTTGTAGCATATAGGGTCCAGATTATCAAAAAGCTAATCCAAATCCCAAAACCCAGGATCATCCAATATTGAGTTTTGGAATTAGGATTAGAATATTTCTGATATTGGAGTCATCAAAAATATTAGCGGTAGAACCGGTAAACTATACCGGGATGAGAGATACACTCAAGTAAATCCTGAGTCTAGTAAATTAGAAAACACAAATAAAGACTCAGTTCAGTTCTCTCAGACTAGGGACTTTTCCTAGCTGAGATAACTGTACTTGAGAAGAAGTCTATTGTATCCTTGGCTCGTACCTGTCAACTACTCTCCATACACTACATTTTTTACAATATCCTTACTTAGATAAGTCAAGTAGCTTACACTTAACAACGTACGTAACAAGTGAAGTATACTACCAAAGTATCGAAGAAATTTTATATTAAACAAGCTTCATTTCAAAGAAGAGATACTAGAAGAAGCCCCAACAAATAAACCAAGGAAGCAAGCCACAGAAGAGGAGGAAGTCGGACGTGTTCCCACCATCTAGCAGGTGTTGGGAGAGCTCAACAAGAAGTCAGTAGAGGAAGCAATGAAGCAAGACCAAGTCTCTACTCACTAGCAGACATCGAAATAGAAAAATAAGGTAACAATATCGTGTTTAAGCGTGACGTTTTAAATATCCAAGGTGAGCATATCGTGTTTTGATAGAGTGTTGTCAAGTATAGAGAGGAGAACCAGTAAGTGTCAAAGTTAGGGCACATACTAGTGAAAATTGATAAGCTGTCACAGTGATTGATTTATCAATGTTGGGGATTTTTGGCCGATTTAGATAAGAAAACATCCTGACGTATGGACCCCAAAAAGGACATCACTACACTTCAACAGAAGTCTCTCTACACAAGTGGTAATAACATAGTACACAGTAAGTAGAACATTTAATAGAATTGGCTATCTAGGGCTCAATTAGATCAGTGCAATGGGACATGCCAGCACTTCTGAGACCAGAGGATCCTTATAATTATAAATAGGAAGTATCATTTCAGTCACAAGTAGCTTCTGAGATCAGAAGATACTTAATAACTAAGTTTTCGAGTGCGACACTCAATCGCAGGGCAAAGGCAGACCAGATCATACAATATTATACTTGCAATCATACAAGATCATACTTGTCTAAATCAGACAAGGAAGACGTAATCATATGAGATCATACTAGCTAACTAAATCACTATTACACACATCAAACCCAAACAAGAGTGACTAGACACAAGGCTTTGCACATAAAACCCAATACTGAGGGTTAGACTAGAAAGCTCATGCGCACAACCAGACCATGTAGTATCTGTGAAATTAACGAATTAGAACTGAAATCACACCATCTAGACAAAGCATCATATCGAGTGCTTCTCAAAATAAAACACAGCCACATACCAACGACCTGATCAATTACAATTAATACCTAAAAACGAACAAGAAAGGAAGGAAGTGATGTACACCTGTGAAATGAGATTTAGAAAACACATCAATAAAACCAAAGTATATGTTATAGAAAAATACTGCACACAAAGGTTTAATACGAAAACTAAGAACATATGCGTGACAAGAACAACATATGAACACACACCATCAACCTGATCGTGTACAATTAGTACCCAAATAAATATCAAGACAGAACGACGGGGACATACCCATGTTGAATGAGATCGGTCAGATCACACTCGTAAAGACATAACACAAACACTGGCACTGGCTACACAAGAAGAACAAAGTCCCAACGCAGATCATTGAGCAGAAATAGAACAATTGGTTCAGTGCATGTCCGAACATAACCGCCATTAGCAAAGTTCACAGGATACATGACACGACACAAAGTGAACAGATCATCCGCTACAAACACACAAGCGCACATTGTAGCATCCGGGGACCAGGGTATCAGAAAAGCCAATACTAAGCCCAAAACCCATGATTATCAAACACTGAGTTTTGGATTTGGGATCCAATATTTCTGGTGATTAAGTGATCAGAAATAGAAGCGGGAATACCGGTAGATGATACTGGGACTCTCGCGTGTGAGAGAAACACTTGAGTAATAGTTGAGTCTAGTGTAGACAATAACAAGCACAAATGTAGACTCAGTGTGAGTCCCTCGGCCTAGGACTTTTATCGTTTCTTAACTGTTACTCTTAAACTCTACATTTTCGACAATATCCTTACCACGGCAGGTCACGGAACTAGTGATAGCAGGAGTACACACTCCTGAACAACACAACTAAAATATATTGTCTTCAAAAACGTGCTTTATTCGAAGAGCTAAATAGTACAAGGGCAATAGTACTATTCGGGAACGGAAAGAAGACGCTTCAGCCGAGGAAAGAAGGTTTACCGGAGACCAAGCACAACATAATCTGGAATCAGGATCAACCAGAAGTTTCCAGCCAGAAGGTGGAAAGAACGAGGAGAAGAACCCCAGAGGTACTTCACAGAAAACCCTGAGGTCAACAAGTAAGGTAAATACTGTTGAACGTGAACCAGGAGTGTGAAAAGGGTTCCCCGTGTAAAATTTGTCACAGTGATTGATTTATCGATGTTGGGAAACAAAACTTTGTAAAACAAGTGAGTCACCTGCAAACAGTGTACAATCAGTATGACATGCACACCACAAGCAAGCAGCCAAACTAAAAAAGACAGAGATGGATCCAACATTACCTAAGACACAAACTAAATGCTCAACATTAGCTAAGATACACTCTCAAGTTAAGGAACTGTAAAAGAACCATACAGACCTCCACAATCATAAGACTAACAAGATCGTACTACATAACAACGATCAGATCGGACATACCATGCTTAAAACACCAAAATTGTGCAGTACACAAGAGAGATCAGATTCGGTCTCCAATACAGAAGTATAAAGCCTGCACACTTACCTAAGTAATAAATATTAGAGCTACACACAAACAAATCAAGACTGCCAAGTATGCACATCGATAGGAACGAGATTGAATAAGCAAATATTACAGAAATCGCAGAGTGACAAGCATTAGTTAAATCAACTTAGAAATCGCACAACAACAAGCAAAATAGAACACCTGATACCAAGAACGAAGAATAATAGTGACATGTGGGACAGCTACAAACACATAAAGAACAGGCACATCACCATCAACATAAATCTTAAGCACGCAGCCATGAGATAGAGATAAATGGTCATGAGATCACAATAAGATAAGTAACGGGTACAAATACTAGTTTACAAAACAAGTGAGTACACTACTGAGAACAGGTGCAGAAAGGCTTGCGGTCACACTCAGAAAAGAAATAGAGTAGAGTCTAAGGTGCACGGACATGATAATGAAAACAAGTACATAACTAGTACAAGCTTTAGTATAAATGACACAAGGCGCAAACAAAAACTTGGTTCAAGAATACTTCAGAACAATAGATAAACTCCAACGGTGCACTACTCACACTCCAATCACAACAAACACGAGGCAAGATTGAAATTGGCATGCACATCAATCATTAAATCATGTGGTTGGATAAAGCATGTCAACATAACACGCAAGACATAAGCACAAGAACGATATGTCTCAGTAATGAACTCCACATTACGAACATAATAACAAACACAATCTCGAAGCCAACATCCATGGACAAGAAAGCACGACCTCAGAATCACACAACCATGAATGGGAGAACACATCAGATGCGAGGCTAAAAAATGTATGAACAAAGTTTAAACACCATATACACATATATAAACAAAGTATAAACACCATGTACACATATATAAGCACAGCAGTCTAGAAAACGGACCAACATCTCAGATCTCAAGAAGATTCAGTTCATTTGACCAACGTAAATGTACTAAGGGAGACCCAAGAAACAATAGTTACAAGACTCTAGGCACACACAAGCACAACAAGTCCTGAACAGCCAACAAATCGAGTATACAGAATATCGAGCAGAGGCACTAGCTACAACACTAAAAGCACAGCTTCGACAAGCGGATGCAAAACACAGCGCAGGGCATTCTAAGGAGGCAATACAGTAAGACAACATTACCATATCAAGATCACAAGCAATAGTAGTGACTTTATAAATCAGAATAATCTGTGTATGCACACCAAATATATCAAATAATTTGATGGACACAGTTCGGTAGTGCGTCGCTAACACGAACTGCAACGACTCAAGACAAGTCATACTACAAGATATCAAAAGTTCGGTAGACTAACACGAGACAGAAACAAAATTGAACATAATAATAATTAAAACCATAAACCAAAGCTGTCCACACAGTAACTGGGTTCACACAGGAAATCAAGTTTGTAATAAGTACGTAGATAAACCAAGATAAACCAAATTTTGTCTACTAAACCGAAAACTCTCAACATAAATCCAAGTGTCACAGAGAACGTCAAGTTGAGTCGATCAAGTGCAAGATACAACATCAGACTTCTACACAATACACCACAAGGAAGCCCGACACAAAGGTACTCGACCGACTTTCAACAAAGTAACCGTGTGAACCTAAGGGAGAACTTATACTTATATCAGAGAATAACGATACGTATTACACTACATGAACAACAAACGAACACGTAGTCTGACACAACAATGAACGTTCAACACACAGAACAGTCAATGGCGTCTGCGCCCTACAAAAGAACACGAGCAACACGAAGGAGTCTACGCACACAAGACACAAGTGAGTACAAGTCGCAGCGCCAGTACAAGGCCAGTACAAGCAGACACAATGCCAGTCTCACAAATGTCTTCCCGCACCGCTTCTCTACACAATGGGGAGGAAGCGATTTGCATGGACGATGAGTCCACACCAGCAAGAGCTACATTGGATCCAGCAATGAGTAAGTACAACATAGTCATGGACAAGACCATCTTTGAGGGCAACTTCTACATTGTAGATATACTAGTGGACGGCGGACGACCCCATTGACATACGAGCACTCCACAAACTCCGCAAAGCAGTTCACGACCAACAACCCAACAGATTGATACCAGTATTAGATCAGTAGTTGTCAGAGCTATACAATAAAGCTATGAAGTGATCATGACGAGTGTATTGCAATCAGTGGCTCTATGAGCGAGTTAACTCTAATTAGATCTCATGTAGGGAATAAAATCTTAGAACCAGAGATGGACAAACTACTCAAAATGATTGAGTTTCCTAAGTGGCCAGCAGGCAAGTATGTCAGCATGGCTGATTGTCGTGATACAATTGAGCTTGTATTTGTAGCAATATACTTGTTCGCGAGCACAAACATGCTATAAGTACAGCCCCTATCACTTGTACAAGAACTGCTCAGACAAACGGACACAACGGAGGTATCGCGCACTTCACTGAAAGGGAGGACTACAATATATTGATTATTGACAACTTGCGTCGCACTCCAGTAGACTATCTACTATAAAAGTAGCTCCACGACTTTTATGTCACTCGCATGAATGTTGAAGTCCGAGAAGCACGATTACGTCGCACAAGGGTTTATAGACTGATCATGGCGCAAACAAAGCGTGATGGTAGTAGTGGACACTTGTCTGACATATCAGAGAAGGTATTCCGTGAACTCACTGAAGATATGATCAGACAGGCAACCATAACACAAGCTAATCGCAAGCGTGACAGCAAGCGCGCACGAAACGACACCATCCCTGACCAGAGAGTCACTCGCCGAAGAGTGAGCATACCTCTAGGAGGTCCACCCAGAGGTGGGGGCCAGCCAAGAGGTGGCGAACAACAAGGAGGACAAGGCAGAGGTCGCCCCATAGGACAGGCTACTGACACCCCAGCACCGCGAGGACCAAGACCTTACCCACACTGTGGTATCAACCCTTCACCACACGCGTTCAGCAAGTGCACCAAAGAAGACGAAAGCAACCGTCTGTAGCGCAGAAATCTCACCCTGCCCATATCGACCAGTTGGTCATTACAAATGGCAACAAGGTGCAGGAGATGAATGAGGATATATGAAAATCTTGGTGGTCGGAGGCTAACATGATAAACATGGTAGACATTTGAATGCACACACTGTCTGACGAAGAAACGTTGTTTATAAATGCCAGTGGTATTGCTTACATCATTATTTCTATACTTCCTAACCCACGAGACCAAAGATTGCACATATACATACAAATCAATGGCACCACATACAACGCACTAGTAGATACAGGAGCACAACGCTCTTGTATGGATCACAGTGTAGTAGCTGAACTATAATTGTTCGTCAAAGCACAACCTGGCTACATACAGCTAGCACAATCAGATGCACGAGTACAACGCACAGGTTCCACAATTACGGCGGTAGAAAAACCTCAAACTGTTTTGAGGTGCTCGACCTCCCAGACAAGAAATCACTAATTCTCTCAGGTATGGATACTCTACCATACTTATGCATATATCTGGCTGGGATAACCAATCCAAGTATACCAACAGATGCGAAATGCGAATCACTTCTCACACCACATGAAGAAGAACTTGAGCAAGTACAAGAAGGATTCAGAGACTTGCTCTCAGACTTGTTAGATAAGAACGGTTAGATTCCACCAGATGTACACTGGAATCTACAAGGATCAGTAGTGGAGATACCAAGTCAGGAGGTCAAAGCCAAGAACATTCGTCACGCTAAAGTGAACTTTGTTCCACACAAATACATACCACAAACAGTCAACGACGGCCACATATACAAACGAACAACACCCACACTGATAAATCTACCATTACAATCCACATGGGAATTCGAACAGACGGGTCGGTTAAAGAAAGTGCGCACATGTTTGGACTTAAGAGAAGTCAATCATCAACATAAACAAGTTAATACCGTATTACCCGAAATAAAGGAAGTACTCCACAACCTACAAGGTGAAAAATTCTTCTCTATATTGGACTTAACAGGAGGATTCCACCACATTCGAGTACATGAAGATGGCCAACACTTCTTTACCTTTTCACAGAGAGGGGCACGATACTCATTCAAGCCAGCTCCGTTTAGACTACACTCGCTAACAGCACAATCCCGGCGAGTGATGGCCAACCTCCTCATTGACATTAAAGGAGTACAAGTATATGTGGATGACATAGTCATTGCCAGTATA